TTTGTATATTGTTTAATCCTAAAGTAGGAATTGAGATATCCTGAATGATGTAGAAATGCGATGGACTGTTTTAATGCATGTGCTAATATGTCTCTGAAAATTTGAAGACTTAGTGGAAAATAACTTTTAAATACTTGAGCATATGTTTTTTCCTTCTCCCAGGGAAGGTAAGTTATGCACTGCTTGTGAACTCAGAATTGAATTCATCTTTAATGATGCAGTTATGGTTAATTTTGAAACCATTATAGAACAGTCTGAACTGTTATTTACAATTGAGTAAATACATGTACCAAAATATGGATAAAGCGATTGTAGATGATAAGATCCTTTGTTTTTGGATCAAAGCTAAAAAACAACAAAAGCAAACTAATAAACAAGTGAATTCCCTGTGACAAAGGGAAGTGTGAAAGTGTGCTAAGTGCTGCTACGTAGTTGACTGTTTGGGGCTGTTTATTCTTCTGTATAAGTTTTGGGTACTCTAAATACATTTAGAAATATAAGAAATGTTATTTCTTCCTTCCAGATTTCAACTCTGCTGAACTGAATTAGAAATATCTTTAAGCAGTTCTTGTCTTGCTGTTGCTCTGCCAGTTTTCTAGTTTTCATATGCAGTTAATAACCCATACAGAAAGTATAACTGGTTCTGTATGCTGCTCTGGTTTACAGAGACTGAAGTGTTTATGTAACCATTTCATGAGATTCTCCAAAAAAAATAATCTGGTAACTTAAAGGTACTTTTTTTTTCTTTTTCAAATGACAAAGGAAATTTCTATTTGTAGTGAAGTGTGTGGTTAAGATGGAACTATATAATAGGCTGTTAGACATGGGCTTGTGATACTGTGCAGGATTAATGTTTCAACAAATGTACTGTGTTTATTGTTCAAGAAAAAAAAATACTGCACCGTTTAAAAAGTAAATTACAATTGAGGCTAGGAGCAAAGAATGACAAAGGCATGGATACCTCATGAATACAGCAGGAAAATATCTCACATGATTTCTAGTAGTTTCTAAATACCTTGTATGTTTTTCTTGAGGCATGGAAAATTAAACTGAACTTATTTTTATAGAGAATAAACATGTCAAGCAATTAAACAAGACTGAAATTTGATAAAACTGTTGGTACAGTTCTTGGAACCATGGCATGTACTCAAGCCCCAGTAATTTAATGAAAGCTACTGAATTGGGTTGGAAATAAGTTTAGAGGTCTCCAGGAAATGAGATTGAGAGTATCCTTAAGAATTCCATGAAATAAGGCATTTTAGAAAAATGCTTAACAACTCCATGTAGAGATGAAGAAATAATAATAATTTTAAAAGCAGACCCAGTAGAAACTGTAGAGTTGCTCAAAGGGTTGCTCATTAGTACATCCAAGTGTCTCTGTATTGTCTTGACTTCTTCAAGCAATTATAATAATTAATTCTAAACGTATTTAAATTTAAAGCTGTATTTTTTTCATGAAAGGATGACTGTGATTCAAGTGAGACATTTTACAACTCTACACTTTTTTAATACTGGAAGTATCATAAGATAATATAATTAATGCAAACATATTGCAAAAGAGGCCAAATCATAGAATATTTGTTGCAGCACAGTAAGTAACAGTTCCAGCTGACTTGCCAGTTTTCATCTCTACATTTAGTTGCAGGAACAGAATTCTAACCAAGAAATTATTTAAGTGTTGTTGTTGTCACAGGGTAATATTTTCTGGGTGAAAAGGAAGTATTCTTTGCAATTGATATGCTCTGAACTGTAGTGTTTTTGGTATCTGCAGGTAATCACCATTTTTAGTTTGTGAGGTTTTTCGCCCTGGCAGAATAGGTAGGCAAAGCTATCTGTCACTTGATTCAAGTTGGTGAATAGTTGGCAAAACATGGTACTGACCTGTAGTAGTGGGTCTCTAGTGTAGTAGCAGCTGAGTTGACCAGTACTTTGGCAATGGGGACCTCTTTTTGTATCCTCACAAAGCAGTGAAGTGAAATGAAGTTAACTTTTTCCATTAGCAATTATATACTTTGTGAGTGCAAGATGAGATTATTCTTGAGGATTTAAACAATACTGAGGGCCAGTGACAGATGTGAAGAGTATCACTGTTCATTTCAATCACCTGTTGCCAGGATTTTGCTATTAAGCTATAAACAACTCATTGGGAAAACACACAAGTTCCTTGATGAGAGATGTAAAGTGACTATTTCAAACAAAGTAAGGTTTGTAATGGATAGGGCTAAAACTGAATTGCACCATTTGAAATAAATATTCCACTGAAATTACTGGAACAAGAACAGTTAGTATTATTCTTTCCACGGTGTAGTTGAATAATTGTCAACATGGAAATAATTGGCCTCGTGTTTTACAAGAGATATGAATTTAACTGGAAAACTACTTTTTTGTTGTTTTCAGGCATCAACTTATCACCATATTCAAGAAATAATGGTACAGTTATTACGCACAGTGAACAAAACTGTTATTACAATGAGACGAGACGATTCCTTAATTGTGAGTAATATTTTAATGTGTTTTTAATATTTTGAAGACTATTTAATAATTATCCCGTGAAAATGCAAATACAATGTTTGCAGAGACCTTATTTGTGGACTTTTTGAGATCTGAAATGAAAGATCTAAAAGCTTTGCTCTCTTTTTGATTCAACTGTTCAACTTTACTGTCTTCCAGATTTTAGTTGAGCACTGACAGGTGAGTTTAGAGCTTTAAAAAAACAAACAAATCAAAGCCAAAAACCTCTATGTCTAAAGTTAATTTCTTTCCTATATAAACAGTTCAATTGGATGTCCATTTCTTCCTGTTGATACCTAATGCAGACAGGAAAAATGTGTGGAGATGTGCTCAAACAGAGCAGTTGCATGAGTTTTTTGCGGGTATTCTGTGGCTTAAAAGTTATATTCAAGGACAAATTCTACAACTTACTTAGATATAGGTTCATACATCATAAGTAATTGTCTTGACTTAGACTACTGAGAGTGCAAGCCAGTTGTGTTCTGCAGAAACTCTGGAACTTGTCCTTCAGATTGTGCACTGAAGAGAAGATATGTATTATAACTTAATCTTAGAGAATTGCATTATTCTGCAAAATCATCAACAGCATTTACTTGATTGTTTCAGCCTTAAGAGGTGTGTTGCATGTCTTTGGAAGAGTTCTGTATTTTTGTGATCTGGAAAACCAAAATAGCAGTTTTTGAGCCATTAAGAGTGTAATTTTCTCTTAATAATCAGCCTCCTTGTAGCTGAGTTCTTCAGGGATATTTGCCAATGGTTGCTTGAAATACTCAAGTATTACATCTGCAAGTTTCAGAAATCTTATTATCTGTGCATCAGAATTCTGTTCTGCTGTGTTTGCAGCTCTCTAATGTGTCTGTGTAGTCATAACAGGAGGAAGCTCTGAATGAGAAGACAATGAACCTGTCAGTTTTCTAGTGTTTGAAAATGTTTTCTGTATTTACAAAGAAAACATCATTAGAGTTTTACGGATGACATAAGCAATCTACTAAGAAATATTTATGCATACCATGAATAGTAAATGCAGAAGCAAAATAAAATTGTTTTGATTCTACAAAAAAATATCATAATACTTAGTAAACACAAAGAAACAAGCTGCTTACAGTATACTAACATATTTTAGGGTTTTTTTTGACGTCTTATGTAATTTGTTTAGGCATGAGGATGTCTGAATGGTAATAATGCTCATCATCACCTATATGTATGTGTGTATCACGTTATAGAGGTTTCTCAGAGCAAAAATGAAGGGTTTTTTAGACCTGAGGCAAGACCTCATAAGGGGATAATCTTTTATATATATTATTCTTTTTTTGTGAAGAACAAATTAATCTCTGCAGTCAGAAATGAAGCACAAGTGAAAACAAGCTCATTTTATGTTCTGCATACTGCCTTTAGTTCAGTCACTTACTTTGAAGATTAGCTTTAATGGGCACAACTTGATAGGGCAAAACTCTTGATAGGACAGAACTTCTTTAAAGCCTAAATGATCAATCTTTCAGAAACGAAGCAGATAGGAAGTGTGCAGAATGCTTAGGTGAGCTCAAGTAGCTAAAAGCATGATGTGCTCTGTCGGTGCAGGTGGGACGCAGAACAGCTGCAGTTGGACAAGGTTTACACTTTGCAAGACCTGTAATTCTTTGCAAGTTAAAATGTTTGCAGCTGTTGAGCCTGCTAAAATTTATTTGTCTTCTGTCAGAAATGAGGAGGTTTTTGTAATCTTCTAGATTGTTAACAGAGAGGGAGCTATGGATTTTTGGCTTAGAACTTCTAGCTTTGATCTTTGCTTGCTACAACACCATTTGAACCACGGGGAAGGCTCTTCCTTGTGCACAGCGGGTAACAACATGCTGTGAGCTTTGTTCATGTAATTACTGGAAAGGGTCAGACTAAGAAGGACATGATCTCTTCAGGAGAAGTTGGCAGTAATGGGTAAGTAATTGAGCTCTCTGCAGCTACTGCAGGGAAGACACTTACATGGCACTGAAGGCTTTGTTTTGAAATTTTGGCAGTTAAAGGCTATAATGGTGTCTTGCTTTGTTTCCACTAGTTAAAATATGAAAAAGAAACAAACAAAAAAGTCTCCTTACTGATTATCACTGAAGTGCTCTTAAGCTTGTAATAAGGAAGGACAAGTTTATTTTGTGAGATTAACTCTTTATTCTGTACTGGAATCTTGATGTGAATCTTGACTTTTACTTAAAGGACACAGTGGTGCAATGAAGTACCACTGATGTAATTAAAGAAGCAAAATATAGAGAAGCATGTAGAATAGGGAAGTACTTAATTCTGTATCAGCTTGCTTATAGAAACAAAAACATTGTTTTTGTGTTGCTTGTAGATTCCTGGTAGACATTTTAAAAGTCACTGTTGGTAGTCCAAAGTTTATCTTGATCACATTGTTAGTTTAAACAAAGGTCAAGAGGGTTTAATTGTTAGCAAGAAAAGTTTGACAATATTAGTATAAAATACTGTACAAATCAAGACTTTGCTTTAAAAAAAAAAAAAAAAAAAAAATCAGTCAGATTTATATTTATTACTTTTCCACCATGGACCTGAGTAAAAGTAAAGTTTCTGGATGTAAACAACCAACATTTCAACGGAAATTCCCAAGATAAAAAAAAACAAACAAACAACAAAACAAACAAAAACCCCGCAGTGCTTTAATAACCCAAACTACTCTATCAGGAGATCATGACCATAAAAAACATTTTATGAGCTGACACGTTTAGAAAAAACGATATATTAAAATTAGACTGGCTGAAGTCTCTTTTTTGTTCAGTTTTCAGATTCAGACATTTTCTCTACCTAGAAAAACTGCAAAGTGATTTTGTGAAAGAACCATTTATTCATTTCCCATTTATTTTCTCTTTCCAAAGAACAACTGTTCACTTCTTTTGAAATCAAAATATTGTTTATTATTTATCAACTCCTGAAACCTAAGAAAAAGATTTTATTTCAAAAGATGGCACCCAATTTAAGGAACATAAAGATTTACAAAACATACATTTGGTGATGTTTCATTAGAAAGATATTCTGACTCTAAAATAGCATAATTACTAGGTATTGTGACTTTTTCAGAAGAACTACAGTATATGAATCTACAAAAAGCCCTGCATGACCTGACAATATATGACAGAAAGCAATCATTACTCCTCTCATACAGTTGGAATTTTTAAGGAAAGTTAGGTTAAATCCATAAAATAGCAATTTGAACTAAAGCAGTTCTGGAATATATGTGCTGTACAGTATTTTATAAATTGCACATTGTTGTTGTCAATTAAATATGTCTTCAGAGAAACCTTAAGTATTTTGTACGCAAGTGTTATCAGTTAGCTGTGGTTGTTTTTTTTTTTTTAATTTATTTATTCTGATTTTTAACATTTAATTCCTACTCTGGGTGATGGTTTCAGGCATTACACAATAAACTATTAAGTCAGGAAAATTCTCTTAGCCATTATTTGCTTATCTATCCTTTCCCGTTGCTTTTCCAATCCTGTCATCATCCTGTGCTGATGTCTTCTCACTATTACTGTTTAATTTACCCAGTAGTTTGTTTGCTCCAATGTTGTTTTTAAAATTTTCTGTGCTAAGTCTGTTGTGTGATATGCTGTGGAGAAAACTCACTATAATAACTTCTTGCCTTTGGTGTATGTGGTTTTATTGTGAAACTGTGATGCTTAATCTTTTGTACTAATAATTTATTTCTGGTGTACTTTTCTTCATTTTAAGTTAAATTGTTGTGGGTCAGAACTTCTGGAAGCCGGATGAGTTCTATCCACACACATTTCTAGAACGTGTTTGGCTAGGAAGTTCCTTAAGTGGCTACTCCTGCCTCACGTAGCACATGGTTTCTTACCTTATCTGCATTCTTATGTTATACTTTGTGTTCATTTATTTAGTTATTAAAATAATCTTTCTTGACAACTCTGGGACAACTGAGCATTATGAAGGACGGTGCTTTAGGTGAACTCTTGATTTCATATTTTCTTTCCATGTAAATAGATGTCTTAAAGGAAGTGACTTTGAAAGCACTGCATAGAGGTAGTCTGAAAGACACGTTCATATTTTTAAGTTGCAGCATTGAGAGCTGAGAGCCAGTTGGCATTGGTAGCTTAAGTGCTTCTCTGCTTCCTGCTGTGCGTGATGCTACAAGGAGATTTTCATGTTCATGTATACATAAAGCGTATTTTTTTTTATTGAGGGAGAAACAAATAACCGAGTAAGAAATATGGAAAGACTGATTTTTGACTGGGAGATTAATGATAAAAATTGTCTGTAGTTCTTAATTTCATCAAAATAAGACACTAAAATATATATATATAAAAAAAAAAAAACAAAACCAGAAACCATTTGAATTAGTATATTTCAGTTTTTTAGAATTATTCATGTCTGTTCAAGTCATAATAAAGAATTTAGTGTCCTTCTTCTTTAAATGGTCTTTCTTAAAGTAAATAGCATATTTGTGTTCTTGTGCAGTTTTACTTACTCCAGGAATTGATTGGTGTGATGTGGCAAATGAAAATGTTGTGATCGGTTTAAATTCAATAATTTGTCTTTATTGAAAGGATACATGCAAAAACAAAATCAGACATTAAAATGAGCCTTGTTGTACTTGTTATTTAAGAAAAAGGACAAAAAGATGACTTTCAGGTCATAATAGCAGGTCATTGAAAATCAACTTAGGACAAGAAAAAACTCACTGGTTTTGCTGGTATTGCTTTTATTGGTATTGCTTATTATTGTACCTTTGTCCCCCAAAGATATTCATCTTAAAATATTTTAATACACAAGAAACCTTTGCACACTAATAGATCCTTCAGTGTATCAATTACAGTAATGCAAAATAGGAATGCTGTTGGAATGTCAACATAAGCAGTATGTGTAGATGGGTGTGATAAAATTACATACTCTTATCTAATAAATTCTGGTACCTACTCTCCACAAACCATTATTGACAAACTTTTCTGGCTCGCTAAAGGCATACATTTTGCTAGTAACATTTCATGTACAGCTTTCCCTTCAAAAGGCTTTAAAGTAATGACAATTCTGTGTCTGTCAACTCCATACTGACTGTACTGAACATAATTTTTAAAACTGTTGTTCTTTAGTATCATGATAAATTAAGCCATGGGACATAGCATCACTGTAAATGAAGACTGGTTTTTATAATCTTTGGTCTTTTCTATGCATAATTGTTTTTAAGGTGTTCTCAAAAGTCTGGTTAACCTTAAGCACTGGAGAAACACAGAAGTGTACAAAAAGAGTAGACATTTTTAACTAATATTATATGATAACTATTATATGATTAACTAATAGTATATGATAAAAGAAAAAGGATCTAGAGGTAAATCTGTTGAAAACCCTGGCATCATTTGAACTGTTTAACCAGAGTTTAAGAAAAATTCTGCAGAACAGACAAATTTTTTTAATATAACTTACCTATGTTGTATTTAATAGGCCTTAAAAAAGTCATTTACCCTCCTAAAGCAAAAAAAAAAAAAAAACAGCCCTCAGCCCTCAGACTGTTTTGATTTAGCAATACAGATATTAAATGCATACAGATACAAAGGGGAAGAATTAGGTGAGTGTTTTAGCAGTACAGAAGCAAAAGTGGCTATTCCTCTTTATTCATCAGGGTAAGGTGCATGTAATGAGTACAAGTCAGCATTCAGTCAGACGTTCTTTTCATTGTGGAGATGGACAAATGCTGGAAAATGCTGCTCTTGGGTGTTATGAATTCTCCATCATTGGAGATGCTTAAAACTATAGTAGACCTAACTGGACCTTATTTAGGAAGGAAATTAGATCTACAATTACTATGATAGACTTCTTTTTTTTTTTTTTTTTTGGAATTTTAAGATAGTTAACAAGAAGTCTATTAAATAACAAACTTTGAAATAATTCCTTTTCAAATTGAACTGACATAAGAACAGAATAAAACTTGAACCTGAAATTCTTCATTATGGTTAAATTGTAGATGACAACGATCAATGTATTTCACTGGAGATGTGAAATAATTGTAATTATCTCCTCTGAGGAGATTCCCCTGAACTTATTCTTGATTATGCAGTCTGTTTAAAGATCAGTGAAGTTCTTTTTCTTTAGTTCATGTTGCTTAAGAATGAAGTCTGCAGGTTTGACTACCCTTGTTTTTTTTTTTTTTTTGGAAACTTGAACAAAAATGTCTTTACAAAGAATGTGAGGATCACCGCAAAAAAAAAAAAGAGAAAACTTAAATTTCTTTTTCAGAAACAGTCTCTTCATGTCTCTTTATTCAGTGATATAATTTAAATCAATTCTTCTGATTTGATACTCAATTAAATATTCTTTAGTTTAGTGATTTCATAATAGTGTATTCTCAGTTCTGTGCTTCCAAACCTCTTTTTGCTCTACTGTCTTTTGAAATACAAAAATTTTTTTCAGTTTAAGATCTGTAAGGAAGTCAAATCCACCAGAAGCATTTTTTTTTCACCTTTTTTGTTTTCTTTCTCAACTCCTTTTTCTCGGGAAGTGGATGATCAAACGATGGCTTCTGAGGCGAAACTGAAGCTGGATTTTGCTCTGCATGATCCAGACTTTTCAAAATCTGTTGAAATCTTCCTTCTTGTTGTCTGAAGTCATATTCTACGCTAGAAAAATGAAGAGATGTGAGCTAATAAGTGAATAATTCCCTTTTTAAAAGCTTACTTCATTAGAACAGATTTTCTTCATTAGAACTTGTTTACTTTGAGGGTGATGGAAAAGTGGAACACGCTGCCCAAAGAAGTTGCGGTTTCCTTCTCTGGAAATAATCAAAACCCTTCTGGACACTTTCCTCTGCAACCTGGGCCTGTGTTAGCAGGGGGGTAGGGCTCGATGATCTCCAGAAGTCCCTTCCAACCTCTATGATTCTGTGGTTCTGTTATGTGGCATTCAATATGAGAAGCTGGCTAAAATGCAGAGTATTTTGCTGCCTTGATTATAACATCATTTATTAATATTTTCTGAAGAAATCCTCTTTCTTTACATGAGATAAGAACTCCAATATTGTAGATATTTCAGTGCATTTTATTAAATGTTCAGATTTTGATTCTGTTACCTAACTCAATCATGTATCTGTCATGAATTCAAAACATTCACATCTTAAATGTGAGAAGTTCATCTCCAGTAAGGACAAAAATATGTATGAAATAACATAAATACATAAGTCTTTGAGATATGTGGTATGAATTACCGAGGAAATAGGAAGTAGAACTCTATTCACAATGTCTGTATGGAAGCCCATAACTATTATTGATGTAAAATGAGAGTCAAAATGATAAGAGCAAGTATATGCACAGAAAGAAAAGTAAGGCTCAAAGGAATCAACGTGGAAAAGAGGATTTTGATGCAACCAGTATAATTAAACAAACAAACCAACAAAAAAGGAGTCAGCACTCTGTGCTTTTTCTTGATTATCTCCACATTTTATAGGAAGGGGAATGAGATTTGTATCAGCTCTACTTGCAGTATAGATTTTTGCTGGAGGAGTGGAAAGCAAGAAGATACTGACCTTTTTATTTTTCATAATACAAGCATTTTTGGAGGAAAAATATATTTTCAGATGCATCTGTTCAATTTTATCAGCTTTGGGCTAAAACACAGTACTATTCAGTAGTCACAAGTCAAGAACACCAGAGAAGGAAATACTATTTTATTTAAAAAAAAAAAAAAAAAAAAGGAAAGCCTCTGTTCCTTTTTCCTTCCCTGCTTCAAGGTTTCAGATTTGTATTTTGGAGAAACTGTCTCTAGAGATCAATTCAGTCTCTATTTAATAACTTTCCTTGATTTTTGAGGTAACTGCTTGTTTTCAGTCCCACCTGTGTTTATTATAATAAAAACATTAGTGTGATGTGATCTAGATTGGAAGTCCCAAGTTACTTCACCTAACCCTGTTGATTAGGTACTAAAGGTAAACTTACAGTTTGGTCTAAATTTGCTTCTGCTGTAAGACTGAAAAGTTCTTCATTCCTTCAGTAACTTGTGTAATCAACTCTTTAACAGATACAGATAAGTATACTGACTGCCTCAGGCTGTGTATGATAAGGAAGATTCAGTGACACTAACACATCATTCTGCTGTGTTTGAATCACTACTGACTTAGGCTGTTGAAGAGCAGGAGAAGAGAGCACAAGATGAAACATTTAGTTCTATATTCAAAGACAACAGTCATGCTGCAAATAGAAAAAATACATACATGGATTTTTTTTAGACTACACAAAATCCATTATATGGATTTGTTTAGAATTAACCTGATAAACACAAATACTTCCTTCAGAATGTAATGAACATCAAATATTAGTTACTCAGAAATTGTTTTTGTTACTGCTTCTTATGAGACGTTTCTATAAGAATGGGAATTATTAAATTTCCTTCTGTTTTAATGTTTTCTCTCTTAAAACCAGTAATTCTTCAAAGCAGGATCTGTGTTCTTGCTTGTGTTCTACTAAGTGTTGTTCTATAAGCCTCCAGGCAATCTTAGCATTAAGAAGTACCTACTAAACCAAAAGACACTTCCATGTTTAACTGTTTCTTCTGTTTTTTACTTCATATATTTGTGCTTCTTACTCAAGACCTTTCCTGTACTGCAACTGTGTAAACTGAAAAGGCAGCATAAGAAGCATAGTTTATTCTCCTGCAGAGAGAAGGTATCCCGTGGTAAAGGGTTATTTCTATATTCTACAGAATTTCTATGCAATGTGTGTTCTTGCAGAACCCAACAAAAAGTTGTATCTTCTGTCAGCTCAGGGGGTGTTCAGAGGCACTGACTGAATAAAGGAAGTCTTTATTGTTCTGATTATTCCTTTTTATACAGACCAACTCCATATTGTTGGATAATGCGTGTAACTTCCTGGAATATGGTGTAGATATGCGTGTATGGTGGAGAACACTGGAAATTTTTATCCCAGAAAAGTTGTGGTATTTAATTTGTGAAATGTCAAGTACTTTGAGAAAAGCAAATATTGAACTTATTATCAAAGGTTTAAGGCTTCAACACACAAGTGAACTGTATTTTGAGCAATAATTTCCAATGCCGTGTCCAATTCTGACTTTATGGAACAAGAATATTAAACTCTTTAATAAATAAAGCTTTTAATACATTTGGTTTATGCAGAAAACGTGGTGTGAAAAACACATTAATGTGGGTATAATTTACTGCTTATATCCATAAAAAAACTTTAAAGCATAGTGCTTACAAGGTGGCAAAAGCTAAAGCCTGCAATACTCTTTGAAATAGACAGAATACCTTTTGTTTTTCTAAATGAAAACAAGCAAGTATGTAAAACCACTGGAACACAGGAATATCTTTGAAGAGAAAGAAATGCTGGGAGATCTTTCAAATCAAGTTTGCTTATTAATTACATTGTGTCTTGTATAATTTCAACTCTTGATCTTCATAATAAGTTTCTGGCATGTTCTTCCACTATTTTCTCTTTTTTTTAATGAATTTTTAAAACATCACAACATGCCATAATATGATGTGTGTATCAAAGCTTTTTTTCATTATGAAGGAAATAAAAGTAAAATTGGCATGTATTTTCAGTAATCTGCCACTGTTTCATTAGCTGATCAGCTGCCACATGCTTTAAAATGCTCCTTAAACAACAAAAATAAATGCAAAATACAGGATTAAAATAGTGGCATTGTAATTTCTCCACTAAATTTGATTTGAATGCATACTTGTTATCTTTTCATTTGAGGTCTAAAAAATACTATGGTAAATTCTGACTATACACATATTTTACTTTTCATTCTCCTAAGTCTACAAAGTAGGTCAGTGCTGGGAGGAGTCTGGAATGGTGAAATGTGGGCTCCCAGTCTGATTCTGCTGCAATTGTTCAGAATTCTTTGAAGAGTCCATGCAATATTATGGAATCAAATAACTTATGATTTGTATTCTGACTTATAATAGAGCTTGCATTGACTGGATAGTGTATTTACCAATTGATTGAGGTCCTAGAAAATCCATTGCTGAGAGGATCAGCTACTTGTGCAGTATTACAGAGACTTTGTACTTCCTCACTTTTTGCTAATGGGCAGAAAACCAAAGACTCTGTGTTAATATGAATGTAACACTTGGAATTGGTATTGTTTCCAGAACACAGTACTACCAAGTTCATCAGAGTACAAATTCATGCTTTAACTTTATGGTAAAGTAATTTAGACTCAAAGTACTCTGTCTCAAAATAATAATAAATAAGCCTTTGCTGAACTAAGAAGGAGGACGTGTTCACTGTTCTGCGTTACACACAGACAAGAACTGGTATAATGGTATTTGGAGAATGTTGTGCTTATGTTTTCCAAGACCCAAATTTATGACAGAAATTTTATCTCAAAAAATCTAACACACACATGGAATTTCATAATCAGAAACAGCTTCAAAGGTTTTCAAAGCACAATAATAATAGTAATGCTGTGAAACCTTGATGGAAGTTTCTGTTTGAATTTCCAAAAGTACAGTATCCTCTTCTGATAACACCAGTGCTAATTGTTCTATACCTGGGGAGAAAAGAAGCAACAAAAGTTCCTTACATATTCCCTTTTCTTTTTTAAAAAACAGGATTAATGATAACAGACCTTTTACAGCTGTGAGCAGGACACTGTATTGTACATTTGTGAGAGATATACAGTCAATAGAAAATTGTGCAAGGCATGGTACCTGTAAATTATACATGCGGTGTTCTGACACGTGCTGCAGTTGTTGAGGTCTTGACCAGTGTGGTAGAAGTTGCGCCTGTAACAAACAGTTGTTCATGTAATGTGTATTTGTAAGTACACTGACATACTTCTATGATCAAATATTTCCAGGCAGTAAGAAATCTTCAAGCATTCTTTCAAAATAGTTTTTTTCCTTTTTTTTTTCTTGTAAGAAAATTTTGACATACGTGATTGTCACCAGTCAGTCATATTCTGCTAAGTTTTTGAACAGCCACACAAACCTGTTCTACCCACACGAAAATATGTGCAAACACCTGGGTTTCGTCAAGTGGGTAAGTCATTGTCGTGGTCCATACTGTTATGTGCAATTGGACCTGCACAAATATCTCAGGGCAGCCTTTTTGTCATGTTGCAGACAAAAATAAGCTCACCAGGTGTATTCCTTAGTTGTAGTCAGGAAATACTATTGATACACATGATACAATGCTAACATGAGGGATCCAGTTTGATGCACAAGCCACTTGTGCACAAATGATTTACTTGACGTGTCTAAGTGCTGCTGTTTTATGCAATATATGAGATATTGTGGGAAAAGTTAATTCCATCCCATCCAGACACAGCATACTAAGCCAGTTACGCTGTGTCTAAAACTATATGTGTGATAACCTAGGCTGCACACAGTTTTATTTAAAAAGCAAACAAAATTCTTGTTTGCTTGTTTCTTTGAAAGATACATTGGCTGTTGTTTTTTTTTCCCTGAAGATAAAAATTCTTTGATGGAAATAGTACGTTATCTTAAAAGACAACTTTAAAATGCATCTAGGATACATTTACTGTAAGCAGAAACTGTTGTTAATGGTTTGGAGAGCATTAATAGTGTATTTTTAATATGTAATTTGACCACAGAAATATTTAATATTGTACTTCATCATATGAATATGTATGCTTCCTGAGTCTTCTGACATGAGTTGTGTGGGTAGTATGGATATTATTTATAATTCATGAATATGTTACATAAATAATCATTGTGGCTTTGGCTAATAGATATGAGACTGTTCACTAAAACTAAATATAGATCATGCATTCCTACTGATACTGAAGAAAGCAGTCATTCTAAAATATGGGACTCCTAAGAGTCTTGCTAACAATCTTCATATGCTCTATGTTCATAGCTTTAATAACTTTTAAACCCTGACCTTCAGTTCCTGCAAAGATTTCCTGACACACTGAAGATTAAATTAATAAAATTAATTTAAAAAATTAATGTGGTCTTTTACCTTTTTCTATTCTAAAGGCATTCCCTTTAAGTGGATATAAGTGATATAACAAAACGTAACCAACAACACAGTCAGTCCCAACAATGAAAGCCTGCAGATGTTGTGCATTGGCCACTAATTTTTTTGCTCGCTCGATAAAGCAGAACTAATATCGAGCAGACCCATGGTTTTGCTGATATGAACTGTTTCAGTAATAGGTCTGTTTTGGCACTAAATGCATATCTGACCTTGATAAAGAAAGCTGACTTGCCATAGATTTGTTATATTACTTAATACATTAGACTGTTGGGTTTTGTTGTTCAGCTTCAGAGAGATTTTAGCTAGATGGAGACTGTCAGCTGTGTGTTGGCATTGTATCTGATAACATAAATCTAAATAACAAAGAGTGCTAATAAACTATGTCTCTCGCTCAGTTTACTAAAGGCAGTGATAATTAAAGCCAACCTATAAAGAGACTTGCTTTTCTGTAAAGGCTCAAACTTCTCAAAAACTGAATGAGATTATTTTTGCGAACTCATCTTTGAGTATTTCACAGAAAAAAAATATAGTAGCAAACGTTAAAAGAGCAATAACATCTGCTTCAGGTTTTTGATGAATTAGTGATATTAAAATGCACCGTACCCTTCACTGAGGGCTCTGGATTTTTCAAGGTCTTGAATTACATTCAAAAGGACTTTAATCTTCTCCTGGTTTGACAGCAAGGATTCCTCTACAGACTGCAGCTTGCCTTGTAGAGCACATAGTTCACCATGTGTCAAATGAATTTGATTTATTTCACTAATCTCTTTGTTGATGTGTGGTTTTATTTCATTCCTTGGCAGATAAGACTTTGTGTGAAATCCTTCTAAACAGCCATTACATTGGGAAACATCAGACAGAGTAGAATTTTTCTCAGTTTCAGTACTAAGTGTAGAAACAGATTTTGATGCGTTACTGCTGGTCGATGACATTACTGTGTGATCATCATTTGTTACTGTCACACAGCTGGAATCTGTTTTATTCTCTCCTGTCTGTAGATAGTTTCTGAGGAAACAAGGAGATGAACTTTGATTTGAAGGAGGTGATAATGGAGTAGTTTCTTTACTGCTTGTATCTTTGCTGACTACAAGTAACTCAGAATCACTGTTAGCTGTTTCACAAGAGTCAGAATGAGGTTTACAATCACTGTCGTTAGTGGAATCACTTGAGCAAGGGTGTATTTTTTCAGAAATAGGTGACAGCATGCTGGTTTCATTGTTTTCATTACTATTTATGATAGTAGAAGAATTAGACGAATGCAGTAAATTACTTAAATTCATGGTCGTGTCTGATGCATCCATGGAAGTATCACTGTTTTGTGGAAAATTCACATGAATGTATTCAGGCACCTGTGTAGAAGCAGTTGTCTTTTCTGTTACTGAGGAATCATGGGTTTGGATATGTCCATTTCTTTGTGCTTCTGGCAGTCTTTGGCTTGACTGACCATCCACCTTACTGTTCCTGAATCCATCTTCCAAATGGCTACTTATTCTTAAGTAACAGAAGTCTGAAGACATAATGTCTTGTTCAGAAAGATTGTCATTTACTGGAATGCAGTCTTTAGGGTCACTTGGCATTTCTGTTAGTGATTTGCTTACCAACAGTTTTTTTCTTCTAAAAACAGGGAAATGTTTCCTGAGGCTAGGAGATGTTTGTATGGCAATATTCTGAAGCCCCTTCTGAGCCTTTGGAAAAGATGGAGGTTGTAATAAAAATTTGTGATGTTGAGATATTTCTGTATTTTCAATCATTAATGCAATATCTTGGGCAGGATTATTATCCAGTTCAGTGACATCTACTGTATCTGTGTTGATACCATCATCCTTGAAACGAACTTGCTGAGATTTGCTTCTGCGGTGATGTGGCTGTCTCATAAAATCAAATGAATCCAGACTGTTTCTCTTCAGTAGCACCGGGCGCACTTTCATGTTTTGCTGGGCCATTGAATCACAATTTAAAGTCTGCAAGTAATGGGTCGCAAAGAAGCACATTACATTTGTCATTTGAACTCTGTCGTATGATTGTATACCTTAGATTCAAATGAACACCTTGCTAGTGAACAAGATAAGCATTTCATTCTTCTTGTTGTTCTTTTTCAAATTTAATTGCTCATTAGACTGAACACTAAGGTAAAGATATTAAATATAAAATGTAAGGAAAGATTTATTGTAGCTGGAAAATGCAGAAAGCCTTCTGAAGCAAACATGATTCTTCATTTTACAGAATCACAGTAGACAGCTACGCTTACAGTCAACTCATTTAAAGGTCACATTGTGTCTTATGGCTTTCCCAATGGCTCTTATTTGTCAGTCACCTCTCCATTAGCAATCCAGCTTTTTTTTTTATATGACAGATCAGTCACACGTCTTACACGCGTCCTGACTAAACAGATGTTGCAACTTTTGGGGGCACTTTCATTTCCGATGCATAGTTTTACTGATGAAATTATATTAACTAATAACAAACTGAATTGCTTCTTAAAGAAAGTTTTCTTCTTCAGCTGTGTTTTTACTGTTGAAAGTTAAACTAACACTTGTGACCAGATAAAAACATAGGATCAAGCAGGGTTCAGTAAGAGGCATTACTATGTGTAGTTGTTACTTCAGTTCATGCAAATAGGAGGCCATCTGTATCCAAGGTACTGTGTCATTTGGGAAAGTCTTGTAAATACTTTCAGAAGAGTGGTCCCATCTGAATAACCAGCAAATGCAGAATAACATGAAATATTTCCTGAAAGTAAAAAGACAACAGCTGTAGATGAACAAATCACTAGATATGACCTTGTTCTACTGTCTCTAACAACTCAATCTCCTGTAGTTTTGCAACTTTGATGGTGAGATTTATAATAGAAACTGAAAGTTTTTTTTTTTTAATTTGGAGCACCTCATGAAATGTCATAAATCAACCAAAAATGCATACAAAACACTGATGTTTCCTTCAGTTTAGTCAGTCACACTATAACACACCAATGATACATGCATCAGTGGCTGAAGGGATGCAGAGTATTGTTGTCTCCATCCAAGAACGTGAGCCATGTATTAAGAGGAGGTGACTGATGTATGGTGCATTATGGTATGAGAAATGCATGTAAAAAAACATTGCTAACAAATATGTGATGTATTAGTGCTGAAGTAAGAGAACATAAAGGCACCAACCATAAAATCTATCTTGCACGTTTCATTCTGTGTGCAGACACTTTCACATATAACTGGCAACCACATAGGCCATGAGAAATCTTATTACTTGAATATTTTTATCGATGTAAGATATTTTGATAGAATTTTGCTGGCAACCCTATTGTTACAAATGTAGACTCATGATGGCCCCCTGAATTAGAACATACAGGTGAGTGTACGCCATATATTGTTGTGATCAAACTATGTATATTTAACTTGTATGTTTATTAGTCAGCACTTTTTCACTGCAGCTTTTGCTGATTCTCACCGAAATAATCCATGCTATGGACTCACTCTCAAATGTGAGCTCTCCTCCACAACATTTTGGGCTGAAATTCAGAATATGCAACAAATAGTGCTGGACTATTAAGCTAGCTGCTGGAATAGAATAGAGTTGGGGTAACAAAATAAATTTGTGCAAAATATGGGAAATATGCCAGAGGATTTGTAATAATTCAATGAGATTTACTTTCATGATTACAGAAGTGCTTAATATTGTGTCTAAATTCCCAGCATGAAATCATATTTGTGTTCAACTGGTGGCTTAATTACCTGTACTTTTATTGTCTTAGTGTAATATTTTCTTTAAACATTGCACAATCTTTACCATCTTTAATTGAGAGGACTTAATGAGGTGGATGTATTGGGAAAGGTATTTTATTACAGTGTAATCAACAAATTTATGTAGCCCCATGTAATTAACTTTAAGCAATATAATTTAAGTAAATTAATAATACAATACCATTCTATTATAAAGCTTTAGAAGAAAGTGAAAGTATCAGATGATTTCAGAGCAGAGACAAATGTCACATATCAGTAAACAAATATGTACATTAATACAAGTTATATTTTTATGATATACCAGTGTCAAGTACCTTAAATCACCATGCTGCTTTTTCACTGTAAACAAGTTAACACAATAAAAACATCAAATTGTTACTGCAAACAAAGTTCTAGTGCCACGATCTGAGTTCTCATATTGTTTACTAATTACTGGAGCCTTTTTACAATTTTGTTTGAGAATTGATCCAAATATTGCAGTAACATTCCCTACATCCCACCACAGCTGCTCCGGGCAGATAGACTACTTTAATGTGAGACTACTTTAATTCCCAATTAAATTAATGGATGCTAGGTTTTCGTAACTGACCTTGCATTCAGCTCTCTTATTCCTTCCCTTCCTTAGGCAGCTGCTCATCACATCTCGGGAAAGGCCTTGTGAATTGTTTGGTGGTTTTCTGTTTTTTTTATTGTTGTTGTTATTGTTGTTTTGGGTTTTTTGTTTGTTTGTTTCCTGAATTAACAGTGATTTCTTCCAATCTCCTCATTCACTGGTTGCAATTTGAGGAAAAAGTTAAATATTTTATCTGGTTTTCAAATTCTTTCATTTATAGTTTGACACCTTAATTTTCCATTTTGCTTGTCTTCTTTTTAAAAAAATATTTTTTATTTCTTTTAATGACAGTGTGACAGTAGTATTCCACTTCAGTGTTTCTTGGAAAAGGACTCTCAACAGACTTTCTTAAGAAACAAGTAAATCACTAGGCTAAAAGCATTTTATGAGGGCAAGAAAACAATTAGTATAATCACCTTCCTTCTGAGCATCAGCACTTCAAACTTCCTTGTTCACTCTAGATTATTTTGCCACTTTGAGATGGTCTACCTACCAAAGATTAAACAGATGAATTTAAGCGTTTCAGATACAGTGATGCTTGATAGAGCTGTTGTGACTGAGTGACTTTGTCACATTTGATTTGTTTTTTTTTAATCCTGTGTAAAACCTATTTTCTGTAATATGCTGCTAGAGGAATATTTGGAATATTTTTATTTGCTTCATCATTGTATTACATTAAAATTTAAAAGCTCGATGAAAAATATTTTATCCAAAGTGTAATTAAAATTTTAAATCTAAAAGTACAAAGTGCAAGGGCTGCTCTGAATGGAATGTCTCCGTTTTATTATGTTGGCTGTACAGCAGTAGAGGTTGAACCGAACCTTCCTGCCAGTATTCCATTACATTGTGTTGCTGTGTGACAGAAGACAGCAGAGGGACAGTGTGGCACAATGGCTCTGACATGGAGGTGCATACGAAGCATAGGGATGGAACTGAATTCCTCCATGAGGAAAAAATGGTACCTACTGGCATTTATCAACAGTTGTTGAACATTTTGTGGAGACCAAACAGGGATGTGAGCACAGTGGAGGAGGTGGTTTGTGTGTTTAGCAGTGGTGACAGCAGCAGTGGTTACCAGCACTGTGCAGACTTTTATGAGCACTGCACGCAGGCTCTTGTTCATCACTGGCAAAAACGCATAGCTAAGAGTGGTGACTGTGTTGAAAAAGAATGTTTTGTGGGTGAGAATGTTCTCTATCAATTAATGTTATTGCATTCCTTGCTGTATTTTCCATGGAAATAAATAGGAGGCATTACTTTTGGAGGAACCTATGAAAGTTAGTGGTTATTTAATTTTCCAAGTTCTTAATGTTGTTCCATCTTTTCCTTTTTTAGTATTCTCTCAAAGGTAATATCTAGGGCAACAGTTGTAGTAAGTCATTCTAGGATGAATTTTAATGAACAGATTTAATTTTTATTATATAAGAAACCCCAGTGGAGTTTATGGTGCTATTATTTTTTAGCATTTTTATGTTCAGTAAGGGCAGAGACAAATTCATCACAGTCCAGTGGGCTGCAGAATTATTTTTAATAGTTTCACCTCTAATTTAATGTCATTTTCATGTTTATAGCAGGCTCTTTTATAGCAGCATCAGGTTACCAGGAGATTTTGCAAGGCTAGAATAAAATAATAGAAGTCATTATGTAAACATCTTGTAGCACTCTCTGCAAATTATACAAGAAAAAAAAACAGCAATAAACACCTGTCAATAAATCTGAAAATAAATGCTGACCTCAGATATTTCAGTGTACTTTTTTCCCAGTTATGGATGGTGCAACATTTCGTAGCCACAAAGAACTGTCGTAAAATGTATTACAATCCCTGGCTCAAGCACTCAGGAACACTAATAGTCTTGTTATTTTTTTCATGTTCTCAGTGCCCCTTTTAGCACCACAGGCATTCCAGGAGTGTAAGAAATGTGCTTCATCTTTTCCTTGATGTGTTACTTTTCATTCTCTTCCTGTTTGAATCTTACCATCTTGTAAAAGGACATTTCATAGGATTTTAGGAGATAGTGTTTTCTTGAAGCATTTATGGACTAAGATGTGGAAAAGTTTTTGTGTATATTCAGCTGGAGTTGCAACTTGCTCATGGCTTGATGAAAGGACCTGTTGGCTCAGTTAAACACCTCACTGTCAGGTTTCCACTTAGACTTGTTTAGGGTTTAGAAAGAACTTTCCAGGCAGTTGTTCCATGTAGAACTTGATTGGATCAGGCTGAGCATGTCATTAGTGTGTAACACCACACTTTGTGTAAAATGTATCCATCTGAATAGTAAAACTTTTTGAAAGAGTGTGAAGTCACAACACTGATGTTTATATAGAATGCTTTGCAGAATGTGTAAGAGACTTGTTCATTTTGATTGATCCTGTTATATTAGGACACTGGTGAAAACCGCCAGCTGCAAGTATGCAACAATACTGATCTTCATTAGAAGTGCTTTTCTTGGTGGTTAAATATCTGGGAAATATATTTGTTTTCTTTATGACGGACTGCATCATGTGTTTACATGGTTAAAATCAAGTCGTGGATTTTGATGTTTTAGGCAAAGAGCTGTACCCTAATTATTTGCACACAATGCAAGTAGTTAGGGTACAAACAGCATAAGGGGATGAACACTGGTTGGGACTTCTAACTACTAATAAGTTAAACATATTAGTAATTTAAACTAGTGTGATTTTTTTTTTTTCCTATGTGTTTTTTCATGGACTTAGATCAGTTTGAGTACTGACCCAAGCTGAAATATATCTCTTCAGGTATAAGCTGTTAGCTGCCTAGCTACGTAGGGTGCTGTTCAAGTCCAGTGTTACAATTCTGTTGGAAAGTTTACTCCAGAATTTGCTGGAAGGTACTATTAGACAACTTCTGTCATGCCTTGGAACAGTCATTAATAGTTTAAAAAAAAAAAAAAAGGGACAAAGTACAGATAAAAGTGTATAACACTTCACAGTTACCTGTCATAAGAGTTATATTCCTTAAGATACATAGAATTATTCGTTGAAATCTATTCAAAAGTTACTAAAGCTAATGGTGATAGTGAAATTGAATCCTAGCTGTATTTATTTGTTATCATTGTACTGCAAATTTCTCAGTTAAGCCATTCCTTTCAGATAGGGGCATCACTGTTTTGTTAACTTTGTTATTTTGTTTGATCTTCTGAAAGACTTTAGTGATGCTTTCAGGTTGTTTGAGAATCTATTTGCTTTCCATTCCTTAAGCAAAATGCTTGACTTGATCTTTTAACAGAGTAATTTGTTTGTGAAATTAGCAAGGGGCAAAGAAAAAAGGCTTATACTGATTGGAATTTATTTCTCTTTGGTCAGAAGGAGAGAGGAAATGGTGGAACAAGGAATGTTGTCAGGAGGTGTTTCTAACATCAGTACGAACTGTGGGAGTTTCATAGAACTTTCTTAAAAACTGTAAAGGAAGTAGGACTGGGAATTTTAGTGAAAGCCAAAGAATTTTTGTGGCCTTTTGTGTTGCTGTGCTTGATAGCTTCACTTTTGGAAATCTCGGATAGAAAGCCAGAACATCAGCATTTTCAGAAATGCCTCTGACCCTGCAAATTACAGCCAAAGGCAACTTTAGTTTCCTTGATGTGGCCTCCCTAAATACAGTGATTCTATGTTTCTGTAGTGATTTTATTCACAATATATCATTAATTTAATGTTTTAAAAGTTGCCCATATTTATTCTGTTAGAGCTTCAGTCTTAATTCCAAAATGGCAGAATTCTGAAATGACAACTTTAATGTTCAGATTTTTAGTCTTATTTTGACCACGTAGATAGACACTCTGCAGTGATTTTCCTTGCCTTTCAAGCCTACAAAATAAGCAGTGCCTAGTTCTTTCAGCATATATTGAACTGAGGCAGTCACCACCTTTAGGTGCTGATGTTAACATGAAATATCCCTGTCTCATTATTTTCTAGTCACCATTTTTCCCTCAAATTGCTAAAATTTAAAAGCTGCTGAGGAAATTAGAGTCTCAAGTGAGACTTAATTTCCTTATTTTATGGTGTTAATATTCAAAGACAGAAAGTGGAAAACAAATATCTGTTGCTTGTGAAAATTGTGCATGACCAGGACAGTCTGTCATGCAGTGAGTAACTTCGTATGCAGATCTTAATGCTTTCACAACATTTGCTTGCAGTATCTCATTGGGATTGAAACAAAAGTATTCTCTTGAAATTCTGAATTGAATTTGAAATTGAAATTCTCTCCTGAAAAAGCCTTTAAGAATAGAAGTTTTAACAAATATTTTACATAGCTTCTTCCATAAGAGCATGGATGAAGATGTACTGAGAGTATAGACAAACTGCAAGCAGGCTTGTGAGAGAAATACTTTCAACTGAAAATGTATGAAAGGTGCAGAGCCTACAAATTAAAAAATTCCCCCACAGTACAAAATTGCCTACTGTAATGAAATACAGGAAAAAGCTGTCAGAAAGGAGGAAACTTGAAGCTGCTGAGAGCGATTTTTTAAATGACCTCTACGTGTACAGGGATGTTCATCAGTCACAGCAAGGAGTCTTCTTTCTTTGAGTCTTGCAGAATAAAGCAAAATGCTGTCTATGAAGGTGAATACATTTGTTATTGAGAAAGATGAAATAATTTGTGTAGCATAGTTTTGTGTCTGGAGATTTCTCCAGTGCATATGTTGTCTTGGGTAGTATTTTGTTATTTATTCTTTTTGATGAATGCATAGAAAATCTAGTTCTGACCGTGATAAATGCCACAGATCTCTGTTTGTATTCCTGTATGTGCTTAAAGGTTCCCTGCAATGGTTTCAGTAATGCTGAACAAACTTTACCTGAGCACCAAAGACCACAGTTTTCTTTCTTTATTTATTCAAATCTTGCTAGTACGTTCAGTGAACCACCTGAAGATGGGATTGGGATGCATATAGAGGAGAATTTCCTATAGATCAGTAATACATGATGCAACTTTCTAACTTCAAAAAGAGAAGACTTTAGCAGTGGGAGAGATTATAGGATTTTGTCTTTAAGCAATAAAACAGCAAGATTTGAAGATTACTTCAGATTGGTGAGACAAGGTAGGGAAGGTGCTATGGTATTTACCCTTGGAAAAAAAAATGGTCTTGGCTGAGCAAGTTTTAGGAATATAAATGGACTCTGGCTTGGCTATACTTTGCTTGAGATGATGGGATGCCTTTCTGCATGAAGTGTTGAAGATGCAGTGAAAAATAAAAACAGTGAGGA